CACACACACACACACACACACACACACACACACACACACACACACACACACACACACACACACACACACGCGCGCGCGTGCTCGCGCGCCTTTGTCATTCTTCAGTGGATGGGTGGATGTGATCAGTTTATGGATCTTTCCTTTTGTTTCCTTTTTTTTTAACCCATTTCTCATCTCTCTCTCTCTTTCTCTCTCTCTCTCTCTATATATATATGAGTCGGTGAAACTCCGACGAAACAGTTTGTCACAGCCCCTCTTTTGTTGTCCTCTTCTCTCTCTCTGCCTACGGTTTTACCGGGCAGTTCTGTTTGTGACGATATATATATGATATATATATATATATATATCACACACACACACACACACACACACACACACACACACACACACGCGCGCGCGCACGTGTGCGCGCCTTTGTCATTCTTCAGTGGATGGATGGATGTAATCAGTTTATGAATCTTGATTGATGGTTGAATCTTGATCCCCTTGGACTGATGGAAGGCGTGCACGAGATCTGAATCAATTGATGGATGAGAATGTTCCGGATGGATAAGAATCTTATCTGGATTATCCTATGGCTAAGTATGAATCTACCAGATGGATAAGAATCGAAGAATCTTTCTGGATAGATAAGAATCCTTTTATTTTTGAATGGTTAAGATAAGAATTTTCTAGAAGGATAAGAATCTCTCTAGACGGATAAGAATCTATGAATCTTTCTGGATGGATAAGAATCGTTTAAATGGATAAGAATCTTCCTTGATTGATAGGAATCTTTCGGGATGGATAAGAATCGAATCTTCTTTCGGATGGATAAGAATGCAGATGGGACCTAAGGCTTCGCACTGTCGACACGATTGCAATGATGGATTTCCGGGACTCGTATTTGCTTTTGAGGATTTGGTCGTATCCCCTGTGTTTTTTAACTTTTTGTGCTTCTACAGACATATGCATGTCCATCCGATCCGTTTTTTGGCACTTGATTCACTTAAAAGGCATTCTGATATCCAATTTTTATTGTCATGTTGAGCGCCACAGTATACCCCTCAGGCGAAAGTAGCTTCAATAACGTCGACCGATCTCTGGCTTTGGGTCCATCAAGACCCCAGCTGGGTGAGATCTCTCCTGCTCCTGACAGCTCCCTTTTGACCAAATTTTTGAACGACCTTAGAATCATTTATTGCCACTGTGTCTCGTCGTATGCGTGCATGCTCATTCCACACCATCCAGAGAAGCCAGGCAGTATAGTCGTATTTGGTGTAATTTTCAGTCAAGATGCCAGCTATAATGATCGTGTGTTCTATTCGGGTGTGCTCCAAACGCATCGATGACGGAATGGGCTAGCAGATGGAGGCATGGGAGAATCGGTTGAGTGATTGTTTGTGGAAATGGATCGCTGGAGCAATGTGTGTGGGTGTATTGTGTCATCCAGCCTCTACAACAGAAACAGGTAAAATAGAATAACGCCCCTACACAAAAAAAAAAAAAAAGAATAACACCCCTACAGCAGACACTGAAAATGGGGTGTTGTAGTAGTCATCGGGGCAGCAGCAGTCTCAAGCTGCATACATCTGTCTTAGACTCAGATCGTAGACTGCTGTCTGAAACTCCATGCAGCAGCCTGAGAATCAGACCTTTGTGGCAATTTGTTGATAATCATAACAATATTAACAATCCTCCCTACAAAGGTGTATCGAGGAGGTCGTCCGGTGAACTGTCAGCAGAGAGGGAGAACAGGACAACAACTGCGGCTTTGACAAACTTTTTCGTTGGAGTTTCATCGACTCGTCAGGAGGTTGAACTCCAGTGAAGGCAAGTCTCTCTCT